CAATAGGGAGACACAGAAGACTTTTGAACAGGTATGTGACATGGTGAGACTTAGGAACATTCTTTTGGCCTTCGAATGGAGGATGATTTGGAGATGGGTGAGGTTGGAAGCAAAGGGCCTAATTAGGAGGCTATGTTGAGAAAGGTTAAAGACAAAAGGAAAAGGGGGTGGCAGAGGATGAAATGGATACATAGTGTCATGGAAACAATGAACACGAACTAGGACAGACTTTGAGAGGTAGTGGAGGATAGAAGTGGTCCACAGGGTCATAAAGAGTCCAACACAACAACAAAAGTAATTTAGGGAAGAGGTGATAAGGGCCTTAATGAGTTGACTTTACTAGGGTAACCCTGAGAGTAGAAGCAAGGGGAAGATGAGAGAGATGTGGAGATAGAAAAGATAAGACTTGGTAATTGATTGGCCACAGTGTCTGTAGGAGAAGGAAGAGCCAAAGATGGGACTCATAGTTTATGAACCTGAGTGACTTGGAAAGATGGTAATGTCCTTTGTTGAAATATGGCTGGTTGAAAATGAAGATAATAAATTCTATTTTGGACAGGTTGAGTTTGAGATTCTGAGATGGTTAAGTGGAATTATCCACCAGGCAGTTAGGTTTTCATAACTGCTCTCTGCTGGTTCTCCTCCTACCTGTATGACAATACATTCTCAGTCCCATTTATGGGTCCATGGCATGTCCACTGCATGCCCCTTAAGGCTCAGTCCTGGACCTTCTTAATTTTTCCCTTTATACTATCTCAGTTGGTGATTTCTTCAGCTCCCATGTATTTAATCATCATCTCTGCAAATGATTTCCATGTCTACATATGCAGCCCTCATCTTTCTTCTGAGCACCATCACCAATTGCCTTTTGGACATCTGGTCCAAATTCAAGATGTCCAGGACAGAACTCATGATCTTTTGCCCCAAACTCTCCCTTCTTCTGAACTTTCCTGTTACTGTTGAAGGCACTACCATGCTCCCTGTCATTAGGTTCATGATCTTTGACTCTTCACTCTCATCCACCTCACATATTCTCACCACTCACACCACCACCACCCTAGTTCAGATCCTTATCATATCTTGCCTGGACTATTTCTATAACATTCTAATTGGTCTTCATGCCTTAAACCTCTCCCCTCTCTAAATCCATCCTGCACTCAGATACTGAAGTGATTTTTCTAATATGTAGGTCTGAACATTTCACCCATCTTCCCTACTCAATAAACTCCAGTACTACTCTATTACTTCCAGCACAAAGTATAAAATACTCAGTTTGCTTTTGTCAAGCTCTTCATAACTTATGAAGTTAAGGCCTTCATCCTCTCTTCCCTCTTTCCAGCCTTTCCAGTCTTGCTGTACTTCATTCCCCTCCACACACTATGGGATCTAGCTACACAGCTTCCTTATCATTCCTTGCATGCGATATTCCATCCTTCACTTCTGTCCCTTTGATCTGATGGCTTCCTATACCTGAAATGTTTCTCTTCTTTCCTCCACCTCCTAGTTTTTCTGGCTTCCTTTAAGCCTCAACTCAAAATCCAGCTTCTGCATGAGGCCTTTCCTCATTCCTACAGCTGCTCTTACCTCCCTTCTGACAGGTGCTCTGTTTATATTTTGTGTGGACATTGTTATTTACATGATATCTCTCTCATTGGAAGGTGAGTTCCATGAAGGATGATTTTTGCCTTTCTTTGCATTTCCAATGCCTAGTGCTAATATGGAAATATATTTTGCATGACTTTGAACATATAATTGATATCATATTGCCCGTCTTCTCAATGAGAAGGAAGGGAATAGGCAGGAGGGAGAAAATTTAGAACTCAAAAGTTTTTTTTTTAAAAATGAATGTTGAAAATAAATGAATGAAAGTATATAGTGCCACATATAATAAATTTTTGAATGGAATGATTTTGATTGATGTGAGGCTGGAGTAGAGAAGATATTAAAGCTGCATCTGTAGATTTAGAGGTCAAGTGAATAGAGGTGATAACATGATGCTACACAAGCAGGACACCTGTGTCCTAGCTATTTGTTTCCATGTTGATGTCTTCCCCTCTGAGATTTTTATTTTCCATATTCTTTGTGTATATATATATTTATTGCATATACCTATTTATGTACATATTGTCTCCCCTCTTAGAATGTAAACTCCTTGAGGGCAAGTACTATTTTTGCTTTCTCTTTGTATTCTTAGTCTTATAAGGCACAGTGACTGTCACATAGTAATTATTTAAGAAATGGTTATTTATTGATTTACTGGTAATGACAATCATGTGGTTAGACCTCATTGTCCTACTAGTTCATATGTGTTGGATAATTAGAGTAAACTTTGTTGATGTTATTATTAAAATATTAGATGTCCACCCACCCACCATGTGAGATAACAACTACCTGTTAGATTCCTGGACCTTAAATCATACCATTCAACCCACTCTAATTATGGTTGTTATCCTTAGGGAGGGAGAAGGAAAGAAAAGGACACTCTGTAGCTTCCCACTGCCTATAGGGAAAATTTTAACCCTGGTTAATGAATGAAAATGGTCATTATTTTTTCACCCTCTTTTACCAGTTCCATGTTTAGAGTTTGTGATTCAGGCTGACCCATTGAGCTGCCACTCTTCCTATTTCTCAATACCCAGAGAAGATGGTCTTTCTGTTAGCCCTCTGCTTTTGGAAAACCCTAGTCACGGCCTCTGTCAAAAAATTGGAAAAGCTCAACCACTACCTGAGTTTCAGAAATCATTGGATAAATTCTTCCTCTTTTTAGTTCTGATAAAATTGTAGCATGCAAAATATAAAAAAAAGATGAAAATTTCTAATATAAAGATAAGTAGTCAAGAGATAGAACTAGGTAGTCATAGAGAGAAGAAACACATTATTAATAACCACCTGAAAAACTGTTTAGCTCTCCAAAATAAGATAAAAAAGATAAAAACAAAAATAGACCTCATAAATTCCACTGTAATCCATTAAATTGACTGGGTTGACTTAAAATGGTAAATTTGGTGTTGGTGAAACTGTGAAGAAATCCATATGATGTTACACTGTTGGTGGAACTATGGATTAGTGCTTTTTTTTTTTTTTGGTAAATTTAAAGACTTTCTTGGCCAGCCTAGAAGTCAGGGGCTACTCATGAGTCTGAACCCACTTGAACAACTGGAAGCTGTGATCTACTCTGTTTCCAGCCTGGGCTGGTGTAGCCTTCCTTAAGGAACCTGGTACCTTCCTGTTCCCCAGGGCTCACTATATTAATATTGAACTTAGTGCAGACACTGATTGGTTTATTCCACTACAGATTACAGCTCCTCAGCTCAAAGATCTGCTAGCCTCATCCTTCTTGGTATCTGGGATTATAAGCATGCTCCACCATGCCTGTCAATATAATGCTCTGGAAAGCAACTTGTCTTTATGTTACTACATAAAGGATAGGTGAAAAGCAGCAACACTTTTCACCCACTTGGCCTAGGATTTGACCAGAAGGAACATACCCCCAGTATCTTTTTTTTTTCTTTTTTTCCTTCAATATCTTAATGAAGAGGAAAAAAAAACCATTCTCTGTTTAAAATTAATAGCATTATTTTTAATAGCAAAACAGTGGAAACACCCCATCTGTTCAACAATTAGGGAATGACTGAGTGAATTGTATAGCATATGAATGTAATGGAATATTATTGTGCCATAAGAAATGACAGATATGAAGAATAAAACAAATACAGATACATAGTATGGAAATAGTACTGGATTTAGAATGAGAAACCCTAACTTTGAATCATTGTTTTCCCACCTACTACCTGTGAGACCTTAGGTAATTCATTTTCTCTTTCTTTTTCCTCATTTGTAAAATAAGAGGGTTAGACTAGATGACCTCCAAAGTACACTGAGTATCTAAATGTGATGATCCCCTGTCAAACACATAGTCTGCCTCTGGGCTCATATACAAAGCCTTTCCAGTTTGGTAGGACCCATGGGAGCTGGTACTCTGCTTACATAGCCTTTGGGCATCCAGGATCATCTCTAGGTTATGATGAAGCATCGAGTAGAACATCAGTGAAGGTGAGCAAAGCTTAGTTCAGGTTATAAGTTTATCTCTAGAGTAAGAGAAATGAGGTTGATAAAGTAGAAAGAGCAATAAATTTGGAGTCAAGGTCTGGCTTCAAATTCTGGCTTAGGTGTTTACTACTATCTTGGCCTTGGACAAGTCATTTCCCCTCTCTAGGTCTCAGTTTCTTTCTCTGCCCACTCTATGGAATTCCATGTCACTCAATAAAAACTTGATTCAGAGTTGATCTTGGTTGTCTGAAATAGATAGCTTCTAGAGAGATAATGAAAAAGTCATTTTTTCTTTCCCCAATTCTCCATTCGAAGACCCTGCATGATTAGTGTGTGTCCCAGGAAGGCAGCACTGACTGTAAGATACATGACCCTTTGGTTAGATGCCTCATGAAATGGCTGCATAAGTGGAGATATTTAATGGAGCAAAGCACTCTACATGGGGTTCAGCCTGCTCAAAAAAAGATGGGAGGTTGAAGTTTGTTTATGCCTTTTCAAGGAAAACCAGATTCCAGAGATTCATTTCTGGGAATCCATTGGTAACTTTTAATTTCAGTTACCTCTCGAAGTAAGCTCCCAGCTAGAGAAGTATTGATTTTTGTCTCTTGTAAAATCCATTTCATTAGAGACAACCAACTTGTTCCCAAAGGAGATACTGTACGTACCCACTGGTGCCCGGTCAGGGTATTATGCAGCATAATCAAGAAGACTCATACAGACAGTGTGCATTTTGAATGACAAGGTCTCAGCAGGCTCTAACCTGCCTATGAAATATGATTATGCCATTGGAAGTTTACCACCCCAATTCTCAAAACCCACGCATTCAAAATCTACTCTCCTCTAGTCTGACTTGTGGGCATATGGGAAGAGAGTTTATTTGGAAGGTCAAGGTTCCTTGGCCCTCTGTGCTCTCTAGGTGCCAACCACCAACCTGTGTTGCAACGAGGTACCTGTATATGATGCATGCTGTGTTCTGACAAGTGCTGCAGTTGTTGAGGTCCTGGCCAGTTCGGTAGAAGTTACGTCTGCAACACAAAGCATTTTGCTGGGTGAGTTTATGGACAGAGCCCACACTTGCTTTTCCAGCTCACTCCATTTGTAAAGCACAGTGCGCTACCCGCATTAACTGGTGAAATGAAGCCAAAGTGCGTGGATCAAGACCCAAAAATAAATAATAAATAAATAGATGAAATATACTGAAAGTATCTTGTTTTTATACTATTAACTTTTAAAGAATGTATTTATATCTGTATTTTTTCCTTTTAATCCTCACATCAGCCCTATGAGGTAGGTAAGACAGGTATTTTTAGTCCCGCTTGTTAGATAGAAAACTGAGGGAGATTATGTCTTGCTCAGAGTCATACATCAAAAGTAGTGGAATCATGGAGATTAATCTCAGGCCTCTACTCTAAATCTAATGTATCTCATTGCTGTCTCTCCGCCCCCACCTCCTATTCCAAGGTAACATTCATTCTGACTTAAAGAAGCAAATGCTCACTACCACTGGCTCTATCTTAATTTGGCCTAGAGCTGCACCTTTGGGGGCGCCCACAGTGCAGAGAGGGAAATAGATGACTTTTCCCTCAAAGACTATTCTTGTAAATCCTTTATGTCCTCAAACTCCATTCAGTGTTCTTTTTTTTGTACCATCTAATATTCTTACTGAATTTTCCACCACGGAATCCTCCCCATATACATCCTGTCCTCTAACTCCACCTCTATTGCTTTCAGTTGGCTGTTCATTTCACTTGTGTTTTCATTGGGCCATTGACTGAACGTAGGTGACTGAAGTGGGGTTTACTTTAGTTCAATACTAGTTTAAACCAGTTTAAAGCTGCGTAACTAATATTTGGAGGTAGGAGAGAGCAAGACGTTCTACTTCCCCATTTCCTGTCTCTTTGATTTATCTATAGACCCACCATCCATAGATAGTCATAAATTAAAATCTGAAAGGGATATTAGTAACCATCTCAGTTCATCCCCTTCATTTTACAAATGAAAAAATGAAGTCCTAAGAAGAGATATATCCAGGTCACACAGATGGTGAATAAGAGAGCTGGTTTTTTTAGCCTAAACAGAGCCTCAGACTTAGAATCCTGTTCTCTTTCCACTATTGCCACACTGATTGAACTTGTACAATATAATTGTACCTGTATAAAGACTGTGAAATCTGGACCCTCCCAAGTCCTGCTCCTGCCCATTCCCAATTCATTGCTAAAGAGAGGAGAATATCAAGGGAACCAATATGAGTCCCCAACCCCCTGCCCCAAGCTTCCATATTAAATAAATCCCAGTATTGTAACAGAGATGCTATCTGGGTTTTTTTTATTATTATTTTTAATCACTCAAGTTCATTCAGGGGTTGAAAATTTCAAGGATCAATGACTTGGGAAAACAACACCTTGAGAATTACTAAGATCTTTTAATAGCTGAAACCCATTACTGCAAGTTTTTTTTTTTTGATAAATGACTTAACAAAATTTTAATATCAAAACTCATCCTACCCTTCAGTGAGGGCTCTGGCTTTTTCCAAGTCTTGAATTACGTTCAAAAGGACTTTAATCTTCTCTTGGTTTGAGTGCAAAGATTCCTCCACGGATTGCAGTCTTCCTTGGAGGTCATACAGTTCACTGTGTGCCAGGTGCATTTGATTAATTCCTTTAATCTCTTTGTTGGTTGGAGGTTTGATTTCACTCCTTGGGAGAGAAGACTGGGGGTGAAAGCTTCCTAAACAATTTTTAAACTCCAAAGGATCTGCCTGGCTGGAATTTTTCTCTGTCTCCTCTCGACACTCAGTAGCAGATTTTGTCATGTTGCTAGTTGTCAATGATATTAGGTCCTTGTGATCATGACTCGGTGTAGCACAGTCAAAAGCAGTTTCAGGAGGGGCTGCCTGTCTGTACTCTCCGAGGAAACAAGGCGAGGAGCTATGAGTCTGTGGAGGTGAAGGAGTGCAAGTTCCCTTTGATGGAGGTGATAAAGGAGCTGGCTCTTTCATGCCAGATGTGTCTTTGGGCAAAAGCAATTCAGGGTCCATTTTATCTCTGCCAGGCAAGGAGTGAGCACCGCTGGCAGTACTCAAGCAGGAGGAGGGCCTTTCTGAACTAGATGGCAGCCTGCCATTCACATCCTCTGGGCATGTATTAGCACAAGGATGTATTTCATTGCTTAATTCACCAGGCCTGTCCATGCTGTAAGTGGGGGCTTTGGTAGCCCATGGAGGGCTATGACATATATCATCAGGAACTTGTATAGAAGCCGTCACCTTTTCTGAGGGCCCCAGAGCATCTGCTTCAAAGCAGATGCTAACAGGCCCGTTGCTTTGTGCCTTGGACACTCTGGGAAAAAATGGATGCGCTTTCTTACCTCGGTGAGGCACGTCATCTAAATGCCTAGTGATCCGTAAGTAGGCAAGATCAGAAGACATGATGTCCTGCTCTGAGAGATTGCCATTGACCTGGATGGAGTTTTTAGACCCTGTGGGCATTTCCACTAGTGACTTGCTGGCTGTGAGCTTTTTCCTTTTAAAAACAGGGAAGTGCTTCCTAAGGCTGGGGGAAGTTTGGATTGCAATGTTCCGGATGCTCCCCCCCTTCTGGGACCTGGGGAAGGACAGGGAGTAGTTGGGCAGGTGATGGTGCCGAGACGCCTGCACCTTCCCCGTCAGGCTGGAGTCTTGGTCTGTTTGGACATCCATCTCTGCCAGGCTAGTTTGATTCTTACAAGCTCCATCGTCCTTGAAACGGACTTGTTGGGATTTGCTTCTGCGGTGGTGGGGCTGTTTCACAAAATCCACTGAATCCAGACTGTTCCGCTTCAGGAGCACGGGTCTCACTTTCATGCTTTGCTGGGCCATCGAGCCTCCTTTGAAGGTCTGTGGACTATAAGTTTTTCCTTGATATGTTGCATTAAGTCATTCGAGCTGCATCTGGTGACAAAGCCCCAGATGCCAAAAATAGCCAGCAGAGGTGGTGGAGGAGAAGACAAAGTGTCCTGATTGCATGGATTGCTATGTTGGCCATCCCCAGTCTATAGATTTTATTCTACAACTATTTCTAATGTTTCTTCCAGAGTTAAACTTTTTTTTTCATCATGGAGCTAGTTGCTAATTAGATAAATACTTGAGTTACTCTAATGGTCAAATATCCAATCTAAGGAAGTTGCTGGTGGTCTGGGTATCGATTGGTATCACATTGTTCAGATCCTGGAGGAAGTCTGTCATTCTGTTTCACACAGATCAGGAAAATACAATAGAAGTGATCTCAAGGTCCATGACAAGTGAATTCCTGGTAGATTCTGTTACATTTGGAATATCTAGTTCATTTCCCTGGTAGGGGTTGGCTCAGGTGTGGTACAGCCAGCCTCTTAAGTGTGTCTCCTCTGCATGGAGTGTAAATAGGCAGTGTAACAAACAACTGAGGTGTTTGCTCTTTTGAAATGACATGATGTTCCTGGGGTAGCACATCTGTTCATGTCAAACAGAAATTCCTCCTCTGGGGCCATTGTTCTCCATCATGTTCCTTCCCTTTTTATTCACTGGTGGAAACTTGTCTTCCCAAGTAGCCTCATACAGCCCCGTGGGGCATGACCAGGACTGGAATAAAGCCGAGAAGGGGATTCAGAGGGAACAGTCTCTGCTGTGTAGTCTTTGCTCTGGTTCACATTGGTACAAAGCTAACCATGTCTGGGGAGCCAGATGGTTTTAAGAAAAGAACTATAAACCCTGTGACCTCCAGGAGGGGTTCCAGATCAGACAGTCAGTTTTTGCAGGGATAGGCAGGTGAGCAGGTTCTGAAAGGGAAAAGACAACAGATGTAGGTGAGCATGGGGCTCCTATGTACTCTGTTTCCCCTCTTATTTTCGGCCACAGGACTTATAATTTCTATTCAGTAGAATGTCTGAAGTAATGGCATATTGTTCCTTAGCAAGTCAGCATGCCCATGCTAAGGGACATAGCACAGATGTGTTTGGACCATTCAGGCCATTATGCCCAGAACACCCCAATTAAATCTGCTGACCCTGTCATCGTGGTTGCAGTAGCTAATTTTGTATTAGACAGCTCTTAATTGTTCCTGTTGATTTTGCTAAAGATAAATGACAAGCTTTTTTTGGGGGGGGGGGGACATAACTGAGCTTTTGTTCCCTTGGAGGTCTTTATGAATTGAAGGACAGAGCAGAGGGATGTCCTATATGCAAGAGTTTGGAGTCCCTCCAGCATGAAAACCCAGAGCCCCATTGACTGGCCCATTTGGACACTCATATCAAAGATAGCCGCTTATTTTGATTTGCTGGACCTCAATGTCTTAGGGATGAGTCCAATCATAGGGATTCTGCCTTTTCTTCAGAGTTTCTCTGGTCATTGAAACAGTCTTGGTTTGCATCTGCTCAGTCAGGGGGTTAGGTCTGGGAAATCTCCTTAGCATAAAGAGCTAGAGGACCCTTCTAAGGAAGAATATCAGACCCTCTGTTTTTGCACAAAGAGATGAGGAATATTCCTAACATCCCACTCTCTGCTATATAAAATACTTGTTCAACCTGAAGAGCTTAAGTTTTTCTAAGATCATCACTTTCCCAGAGAGATTGTACATTTTACAAAGCTCTTGGGCTTCCTATGCCAAGCAAATCTGGGAGGGAATACTCCCAAACACGGCTGAGGTAGTGCATCTCCTTTTCTGTTTAGAGTAGGATTAATTTGAAATTTTAATAAAAGTTCAGTCAACTTAGACTTAGAACCTACATTTCTTAGCTGCTTTTATCCAAAAGGATATTTCTTATCTTCTCCATGGCTTAGACCATCACTACTCTTGGAATGTGATGAATTCTCTGGGATGAGGGGTCAAAAATGAGCACTAACCAGCCATACAACCCCCAGAAAAGCAGAGCTTGTCCAGAATCCAGGCTGAAACCTAGATACACCACAGAGAGCAGCCCACAGCTTTGTTAGTACAGTCAGCACTGGGCTATTGGACTCCTATTTATCTACCTGGGGAGGGGGCTTTGCCCAATGTTGGATCCAACTGACTGTTGCCTGTAAGAACACTAAAACAGAGCCCTGGTCTCTGTCTTTCTCTCTATCTCTGTGCCTCTATCTTTCTATGTCTCCTTTTCTCTCTGTCTCTGTCTTTCTGTGTGTGTCTCTGTCTGTCTCTCCATTCCCTCTCCCTTTTAAAAATGGTTTCAGGTCTGAGTTTGCTTTCTTTCTGGGTATATGATTCCATCATTCCTATTCTCCCAACATAGCAACTCTGTCTCTTTTCTGTGGGAAGAACAATTGTCTGAAGCTGGTTTTCAGTCTGCCTTTTTGATTCCCCTGTTGTCATTTCCATAATGGATAGTTATCGTTTGTTTCCTTTTGTACTTTCCATACTACTCCCACCTTTCGACACCCCTTCCACCCCTTCTACTGGTGTCTGTGTCTGGGAGTCTCAATCTTCCCCTTGGGATAGCCAGGCTTCATGGATGTGGGCCTCAGTTTTAGAGGAGTGAAACCTGCCACAGGCTTTCCCAGTCACACATTTCCTGATGCCACAGGATACTGGCTTCACTCACTTTATCCCCATGGGTACTCAACCTGGGAGATAAGGAGTTGCAAATATTGTGGATTGTTGAAGTGTTGATTATTACTTGCAAGTTTGATCACTGGGTTTCTAAATCCTCCACATTTTCTTCCTCAATGCCTACCATAATTTTAGACTTACAAATCCATCTCCTGACGAATGTATGTAGATCAGAAATATTACTTTCTATCCTTAGGTTTTCTCCCCTCCCCAGCCAAGAAGAACTTGATCTTGTATTTAATAGTAATAATAACGGCTAACATTTCCATAATGCTTACTATGGGTCAGGCACTGCTCTAAGCACTTCACAATTATTATCTCATTTCATAACAATCTGGAAAGTAGGTGCTATTATTATGCCCATTTACACATGAGGAAACTAAGGTTAAGTGACTTGTCTAGCTTTACATGGCTAGTAAGTGTCTTAGGCTGGATTTGAACTCAAGTCTTCCTGACTCCAGGCCCAGTGCTGTATCCATTGTGCTACCTAGCTGCCTCATGCAGATATGTAATGGGTAGAGATTGAATGATGATTTGAGTCATCTGGCTAATTAGGACGCTTTAGTCTCCTATGGATGCCCTTGATGGGCTAATTAAACGTTCATCTCCCATCTTAAAATATTCCGTATTCCTGTCCTGCTTTTTATCTTCAAATGCCCATTTTGACCTTTGCACAGGACATTTATGAGGGAGGCGTGTCTGACTGCAGGTACCAGCTCTCCAGAATGCCTCAGGATATCAAACACTCCTAGCTGGTCATTAATGATTAGGAAATGCCTTAGGCTTCCATCATTTGGACTTAATTCATATCTTGGCTTGATTCCAGGATCTCGCTTCTGTGGTGGTCACAGCGCCATGCTCGGGCTAAGAGTTATCACTTTGCTTCTACTTATCCTCTGCCCTTTTCATCATAGGCTTATTGAATACAAACCAGATTGTTTATCTTTTTGCCTACACATTTTTGCTAGGTGAGGCAACTCTGGTCGAGTGGGCAGAGTGATCATCTGTTTCCTTCCCTCAGTTGGCCCTTTGTATTTATCTATTGACACAGCCTTCTTTCAGGTGAGACTCACTCTATATGACTTCCCAAAGTAGTCTTTCCTTTTTCACTCTGGTAGTAGGGGACACTGAGTAACTTCATGTGGGAACAGTTGCTTTTTCTCCTCACCTCTGTATCTTAGAATCCCTGGCTTCTTTTGACTCAGCTTATCTTCTGCAAGAGAACTTTCCTGGTCTGCCTGGCTGCTAATAACTTCTAATCTAAGGTTATTTGGTGAAGGCTTCTTGTATATGCCAATATATTTACTCCTTATCTCCTTCATTAGCATGTAAACTCCTTAAGGACAGGAACTATGTTCTATTTTACTTTGTATACCCAGAGCTTAGCACAGGGCCGGGCACATAGGGATAGGAATAGAGACTGGAGCTTTGACTGAATTGAGAGAGAGAGAACTCCCAGGTGAGGGAGTGCCCTCTACAAATGCAGGTTAGCACCTTTTCTTCAACTTATAGTCATAAATAGTTGACTAAAGCATATAGATATTAAATGATTTTCCCAGGGCCATACACTAAAATGGGACACAACAAGAACAACAATCATTTATATATCTTTGTAAGGTTCATATACTTTATCTTATTAAATCCTAATAGAAACCATGTAAAGTAGGTGTTACTGTTATCCTCATTTTACAGATGAGGAAATGCACAGAATGTAAAATAACTTTCCCAGGGACAGAGAGGTAGTAACCATCAGAGTCCGGTTTCCAAATCCAGCATTTTATCTACTATACCACCTAGCTGCTCTTAATATATGCTTATTGATTACCTGATTCATCCATCCATCTATTCATTCATTCATTTTGTCATGCTTCAGCTTCCACAGGGTACCCAGAACATTTCTATGCACAAGATAGTACAGGATATGCCCTCCATAAATATTTTTTGAATGATTGACTGAATTCATAGAGCATTCACTTAACAAACATTTATAATGTGTCTGTTTGTTCAGAGCACCATGCTAAGTGCTAGGGGAGATGCCCAGTTTAGACAAGACTGTTTCTGACCTCACAGAAATGGCCTATTTCTTCTACCAAGAATATTTCATCTCTATTCTCTTGCTACATTTATATTATGCCTGTCCTTTAGCATCTTACTCTTTTGAGAATTTATGCTCATGGGCGTGTGTGTGTGTGTGTGTGTGTGTGTGTGTGTGTGTGTGTCCAAAAAGATATATTGTTATGGAAATATCTCTACAGACACCATTATATCAATTTGTACCATTTGGGATTTTTACATCCACAAAGAGCGAATGTATAAGAAAGTTCAAATCTTTTATTCTTTTCTTACTCACCACCTGGTCACTATGGCTAAGTATAATTGGAGGGATGGGGGAAAGTAATCTCTCTTAAAAAAACCAACTGCTTTCATTTTGTTTCTTCCCTACTTCGGAAACCACAATAAATCCTATATCCAAACTCTCTTTGCTGGCTTTCAAGGCCCTAGATAAGTTCATCCTGGCATATGGAATCCTATGTCCACTCTATAATTCTTTAATATGTAACTGCTTTGGTATGGCGAATGCACATACTTTCCCCACTTCAACTGTCTAGATACACAGCTGTCTCAAAATCAGATACCTTCTCTTATCTGTGCCTTTGCTGATCTCGTTCTTTTGTCTCCCCTTTTCTTTTCTAAAGCCTATACATCTTTCAAGGTCTAGCTTCTCTTTGGACCTTCCCTTGAAGAATTCAGTCTACAATGGCTCCTTTCCTCTACTGAACCCCTACTATTGTTAATACCACATAATCTAGTACTGAGTTGATTTTGAATTTTTTTTTCTTAGATGTTGGTTTTCTCTACACAGCTAGATTGCAAGTTGCTTGAGGGCAGGAACCATAGCTTGGATTCTTTATGTCTCCCACAGTGCTTTGTACAGGGCTGGGCACTTAATAAGAACCTAAACAGAATCATACCATTCATTAGAGCTAGAAAGGACCTCAGAGATCATGTGGTCCAACACACTCATTTGACAGATGAGGAAACGGAGGATTACCAAAGTTAAGTGAAATGTCCAAAGTCACACAGCTAGTCAATGATAGAATTCATATTTGAGTCTCCTGAATTATCAGTATTTTTTTTCATAGACCTTATTGATTGACTTAGGAAACAGGATTCATGGAGCTTTCATTACAATTTTTTAACCTAGCCTACTTCTTCCTCATTCCTGTCCAATCC